CTTATATGTTGATAACGTATTCCATTACTATCAACTACTACTCATTTATTAACAAGCTCACTGTTGCATTTACAATAACAGTAAAAACACTGTCTAATTTTTACTTTAATGATATGCACTGAGAAGTAACTAGAAACAAATCAAGAATAGCACTGACTATGATCGTTAGGATTTGCTAGGCCATAATTCTTAGTGGTTTGGCAGTTATGTATGATTTAATTTGGCAGTTATATAAGGGTAAACTCAGCAGTTATATAATAATGTAGTCATTCTGTTTTATTACTTGATTGGTGGGCCTCCATTTGTGCAAAACACTAATTTTTGTATGATGACCTGGTGTTTTGAATCTAACCATATCAATAAGTGAGAGAACATATATGTATATGTGTGTGTATATATATGGTAATATAATAATATACACTGTAAAATAAATTGAGTGAAAAAGTAACCAAAAGTGAAACTCATGGCCATTTAGTCAATACCCAATCATGGTAAAAAAAAATACTGCTACACAATTATAGAAACTTTTATTGAACAAATGATCAAAATATGAAATGATTGTTTTTGCTTATGCTCCAGTTAGCTCTAGGTCTATATAATTTGAGGGTGTTTTTTTTCCTGTCTCTAATCCTCCCCCAAAGAAATTTTTGCTTTTAAATTTATACATCAAAGCAGCTGTTTTGGCATCCTGACAATGACTCACATCATGTTCTTGTTATATAGCTTTCTGAGTATGGGGAATAAAAAGAGTCAGGAGCGACGATCTTAGGGCCGTAGAGTGGACAAGGTAGGATGAAGTCTGTGGAGGAGAGCCATGGAAGAATGAGCAGGTACATTGTGAGGAAATTCCTCAGCACAAATTTTCTGGCCTTTTCTTCCCCAATGCAGCTTCCATTATTCCTAATAAGCACCCATGATCACCTTTTTTTCATTGGTGAAAAATTACCAAGATTACTCCCTTGAACCTCTAAATAACAGTCAACTTTCAGCCTTGAATTTAATTGACCCAGCAGATTCTCTCTGGATCACATTGGTAAATTCAAGATTAGTCCCCAGTTACAAGTCATTCCCTAAAGTCAGCTTCATCAATTTCAATCTTGTTTAAAATATCAGCTTTCTAAAGCTAAGATGTTCACTTAAAATTGAAAATGTTGAACTATGTGAGATCCCAACTTCAGTAGCTAATGACTTTAATTTTATGGTCTTCCATTAGTCCTGGACTTCGACCAGTTTCTTCAGTCGTTGATTTTAACAGTTTTCCCTCTCTTGGCTCATTTTTCAGTTTTCCTCAGCCTGCCTTAAAACATTTGATCCATGTAACTAGCCATCTATGTTAGGCATCATTACATAAATGTGTCGCAAACCTTCAGTAATATAGGCAGATGTCCTCTTGAGTTTTGTTAGTAATTTGCTATTAGTCTTGACCTAAACTATTTTTTCAAAGGAAGAAAAAGTATGCAATTTTAAAGACACCCTAATGAAATTAATCACCACTTGTTTATCAGTTTGTTGTGGCGGCATGTGGGTTGCTCTGATGCTGTAAGCTATTTTTTTTCTTTTTCCTGCATGTCTGAAATTTCTATAACATTGCTCTGCAGATATTGTAGAGCAAGGCCTCAAACCCTTTCAAAGCTGCTCTTGCAAGCACTGTAGAAATACATAGGGTTACTCCAAACCCAGATTGCTGGAGACTTGCAATCTGTAAGCTATTTCAATGGTATTTCAAAGGCTAGCAGGGTCACCCAAAGTGAGCAGGTTTCAGTGGATATTACAGAATAAGAACAGACAACAAGGAAAGAATCAGCTGCCCACTTCGGAGGAAGTAGCCACTGAAAACCTTATGCAAAGCTTCAAAGCACTGGATAAGACCAAAGACCTAATGAACAGTGCCCTGAGGATGGGACCCTTGGGTCAGAGGGCACTTGAAATGCCTGAGGATGGTGCCTGAGGATGGGACCCTTGGGTCAGAGGGCACTTGAAATGTCACAGAGGAGGAGGTGATTTCTTGTCAACCAAAGTGACACGAACAAAGTAAAGCCTGTCTGAGTTAGAGCCTTTGAGATTTTCATTTGCTTAGGGAGCATGACTCAAAATAAGAAGAAACAGCTGCAAAAATCTGCTAATGATCAGAACTTAGAATGTGAAAAGTATGAATCTAGGAAAATTGGAAGCCCTAAAAAATGATCACATATAGATCTCTATCCTAGGCATTAGTGAGCTGAAATGGACTGATATTGGCCATTTTGAATCAGAAAATCATATAATTTACTATGCCAGGAATGACATCATAAAGAGGATGGCACAGTATTCATTGTCAAAAAGGACATTTCAAAATCAATTGAAGTAAAAATGCTGTCTGTGATAGAATTATACTTATGCACCTTCAAGTAAACCCAATCAATAAAATTATTAATCAAATGTTTGCACCAACCACAAAAGCTAGTGATGAATAAAAGAATCCTACCAGTGTTTTCAGTTGGAAATTAATCAATTTTGCTATCAAGATGAATTGATAATTATTGGCAATTGGAATGCAAAAGTTGGAAACAAAGAGGAAGGAATAGTAGTTGGAGAATATGAACTTGGTGATAGAAACAAAGCTGGAGAATGGATGATAGACTTATTCAAGACCAATGACTGGTTCATAGCAAATACCATTTTTTTCTGATGACTATATACATGGATTTCTCCAAATCGAATACACAGAAATCAAATTGACTACATTTGTTGGAAGAGAAGATGGTGGAGTTCATTATCCATGGCTAAAATCAGGCCAAGGGCTGACTGTGTAACAGGCCATCAATTGCTCATATGTAAGTTCAGATTAGAGCTGCAGAAAATGAAAACAAGTCCATGAGAGCAAAAATATGATCTTGAGTTTATCCCACCTGAATTTAGAGAACATCTCAAGAATAGATTTGATGCATTAAGCACTAAGTCATGATGAGCTGTGGGAGTACATCAAGACCATCATTCTTGAAGAGAGCAAATGGTCATTAAAAGAAATAAGAACAACAAAAAAAAGAAAATGATGATAGCAACAAATGTACAAATATGCTTGACACAATGGATGGATGGATTGTGGTAAGAGTTGTACAAGCCCCCAATTAACTGATTTTTAAAAACAAAAAATATATAAATAAACATATAAATAAATAAAAGAAACAAGAAAGAAAACATCAAAGGAGACTCTGAAACTTGCTTTCAATCATACAGTAGCTACAATAAATGGAAGAAATGCTGAAGTCAAAGAGCTGGATAGAACATTTCAAACGGCAGCTCAAGAAAACAAAATAAAATATTATAATGACATGTGCTCTAACAGAGTTAGAAAACTGAAAAGGAAGAACACGCTTATCCTATCTTAAACTTAAAGGACTCAAGAAAAATTAAATCCTCGAGTTGCAATATTAGAAGATTACATGGGCAAAATACAGAACAACATAAGAAGCATTAAAAGAAGATGGAGGTTGCATGTAGATCCTTGTAACCTGTTCCCCCTTTCTCCCTCACCTTCCCTCAACCCTCCCGGTATCACCACTCTCACCACTGGTCCTGAGGGATCATCTGTCCTGGACTCCCTGTGTTTCCAGTTCCTATCTGTACCAGTGGACATCCTCCGGTCCAGCCGGATTTGTAAGGTAGAATTGGAATCACGATAGTGGGAGATGGACAGCAGAGAAGACATCAGACGGTATAAGATATGACAAAATAATAATAATTTATCAATTATCAAAGGTTCATGGGGAGGGGGGATGGAGGGGGAAAATGAGGAGCGAATACCAGGGGCTCAAGTAGAAAGCAAATGTTTTGAGAATGATGCGGGAAAGAAATGTACAAAAGTGATTGACACAATGGATGTCGGTGTGGACTGTGCTAAGAGTTGTACAAGCCCCCAATAAAATGATTTACTTTTTTTTAAAAAGAAGAAGATGGAAAGAACACAGTCACTGTGATGAAAAGAGCTAGTTGACATCCCACCATTTCAGAAGGCAGCATGTGAGCAAGAACCAACGGTGCTGAAGGAAGAAGTCCAAGCTGCGGTGAGAGCATTAGCCAAAAGCAAGGCTCCAGGAATTGGTGGAATATCAATGGAAATATTTCAACAAGCTGTTGAAGCACTGGGAGGACTCACTTCTCTGCCAGGAAATTTGGAAGACAGTTAGCCCCCCTAATGGAAGAGATCCATATTCGTAACCATTCCAAAGAAAGATAGCACCAATTATAGAACAATTTCATCAATATCACATGCAGGAATATATTGCCGAAAATCATCCAACAACAGTTTCAGCAGTACATTGATAGGTAGCTGCTGGAGGTTCAAACTGTGAAACAAGTGACAGATGGGCTGACTTCCTCACCCATGGATGCAAAGAAAGTCTCTTGGACTAGAGAATATGTCTAAGCTGCTGATAGAGATGAGGTGTTGCTGTGGATCAAGGACTGTACCCTTAGTTTTTGCTGAACCTGACCTGTGGGAACCTGTTAACCTCCCTAATTATAATTATTAGCTGTGAGTTCTGTGTGGCCACCACAATGATTAAGCCCAACATAGAAAGAGAGTGCCATGCAGGAATGGATGTTGCCAGAAAAGATTAAGAAGGATGGAGTGTGGAGGCATGTCTGGCTCCTTCCTCATGGCTATAGAGAAGCCAGGGAGGTCTGATATGCCCACCTCAATTGTCTTTACCACACTGCTTTCTAATTAGTTCACTTACTCCATCCTTTGGTCTCCTGCATATATGAGTTTATCTCAGGCTCCATGTTTGTGTTAGGATAATCAGCCAGCCTAGTTTCAAGGTTAGAATATTTACAAGGCCTGGTCACAAGGTCTGTCATTCCCTTAACAGGCAGAAGTCTCTGTTCAGTCCCTATTAAGTGTTAGTTGAAAAACAGTAGGATTCAGAAAATGTGTCCCAATTTAAAACTATCCCTTGAATGTGAGTCCTTAAAGAGGAAAAAGTTTTGGCTTTTCCAAAAGTGGGCATGTTAGAGTAGAAAAAGTCATTTTCTAGAACCACTTTCTTTGTAGTTCTTAGCCAGATAGAGAGACACAAACCTTCATTGCTAAGGTTATAGGTCATTAGTAGCTGTATCAGAATTAGGTTGCTATAGTTTTCCACTGCCTTTAATCAAGGGGCATAGTAGAACTTAGATACATCCTAAAATATCTCCCATATTCCAAACATACTCTTCTTTCCCTCTGTTACATAAAATCAATCCAATTTACCATCAGAATCAGAATCAATCCCACCAGCCAAGACAGTAATTCCTTTTCTGCCTATTGATCAGAGGCATGAGCAGTTCAAAGTGGGTGGGTGGCGCTCTTAATTTCAACTTTAAGGGAATCACTATTGTGTCTCCAGGTAAGAGTATTTCAGCTTTTAGAAAATAACACTTCTCAACTCCAGACCATAAGGCTGCAGGGATAGGTATCAAAGACTTTGTGAGTAGGTCACTCTAAATTTACAATAATTCACTGACATTCTTCAAGATCCAAAAAAGTGAGTTGAATGTAAACGTGGTGGGAATCACCACCCCTGCATCCTTCAGATTCTGGATAGTGCAACTAACATCTGCAACCCAATCAGGAAGGCCGGGTTGCCTATGGTTTACTACTTTCCTGGTAGGAGTAGTTCTAAAGCTTTCCACTTGGCTTTTCCTATTACAATGCCCTTATTTCTACATGTCAAGGATCTAATGTGGGAGTTCTTTCAGTGCTAAATATATCTATTCCAATTAAGCTTTCTGGAACTAGGGAAATCACTTCAGGAGAAGTTTGGGGAGCCAGGGGACCACTCTGAGAGAGACATGAGTGAAGATTCCATTAGTAACCTGACCCCTATACATTCCTACTCTGATTGGTAGGCCACAGTGATGTTTTGATCCTCCTGAAATCAGTGTCAATTCAGAAGCAATGTTCAGTAATCTCCAAAAATTCTGATTATTTCCTTTCTCCCAATGAACAGTTATTCTTGTGAAAAGTTATAGATCCCTTTAGGAAAGGCTATGAGAAAAATTAAGAGTATAATTCCTTGGTAATAAGCTGGGAACCTGGCCTCCCCTTCATTGAGGGGGTTGAGAGTCTGTAAACTGGTTCAAAGCTGGGAATTGACTGAAGGGCCATGATTCTATTCTATCAATTCAAGTCAGACTACTGTTAACTTGCATATAATTCTTCTTCTATTACAGCTCAAGTAAATATTAATAAATAACTCATAAGTTTTATTCCTAGAAACATGACTAAACAGCCAATGCCTTAAGTCCATATGAATAGACTATTTCAAGTGCAGCTCTTACTCCACTGTTGATTACAGTAACTAAGCCCACATTTTCTTCATCAATTATTTACTACATTTTGGTCCCGACCACCACAGAAGTACAATCAACCTCATTATAGTTACACGTCTGTATTCAATTAGGAGACCTCCCACTATCAAATCTTACTTACATAAAATAACAATCACAGACATCTTCACGGATGCTGGGCTCCTTTCACAAATTAGTTCCTCACCTTTGTAGTGGAAAGCGTGTCCTCTGTGCCCTCCCTGGGTTTGTGGATAAAACCTGATGCAGCCACTCTAACATGTCAATTTCCCAACGCCTTTAAATACCTTCTTCTACAGGACCAAAGCAATCCTGGGTTTAGTGTAGGCCACCTTGTAACCTAGGATTCTGTGAATGAACCAAACAAACTA